GGGGGGGAGAGACATCAACCAAAACGTCGTCGGCAACCGCCTCAGGCGGTCGGTTAGGGGGCACGTCCCGCGCTTCGAAGGCGGGGGGGGTAGGAGGCGGGGGCTCCGTGGCATCAAAGGGGGCAAGAAAAGGACCGTCTTCTTCAGAGGCATTGAGAGGTGAGTTTTTTTTTTTTTTCCACTCGGCCAATCATCTCCTCCACAGATATGAGTCTGGGATAGGTTTGGAAATGAATCCATAGCGTCAGCGGAAGCTAGCTACCTGTGTACGGTTCCCCGAGCAGCATTCTGAACGACGATATCTTGTTCCTGTTTTGTGTTTGTGAGCCGGGAGGATAAGTAAGAGGGCTTGAACATCCCCGGGTTGAGACGTACAACCCCTGTCCTCGGGCGGTTGCGCACAGCGTGGTGGGGACTACGTGCCACCACGAATTCGGGGTGGGGGGAAGGTAGTATTTTGACGGCTACCCACGCGGAGGACCCCCTCCGGTTAGCTAAAGACCGTTTTTGATTTCCTGAATGTCAGGTCTTACAGTTACGATCGGTCAACACCCTTCAGGCTAGCTGATTACCATCTGGCTTTTCCTGAAATCTGGTCTTACACTTACGATCCATCAATACTCTTGAGGCTAGCTGAGGACAGCCTGGCATATACTTATGTAGCGTCACGTCTTACACTTGCGATCCATGACCACCTTTCGGGTTAGCTGAGGACCATCTGGCACTTGCGTAACGTCTAACGTCTAACACTTACGACCCCTCAACCCCGGTCCTTCAGCGGCGGAAAGCGCCGGCAACGGCCCGGCTCCGTCTCCCCCGCAGCACCGCGCCACTACCGCCTCCGCCGCCGCTCGAAGAGGGGCGAAAAAGGCAACGACGTCGGCATCTACAACAGGTGCGTCCGCTCATACCCCGCCCCCGGCATCGGCGGCGGCGGCCGCAGCCAGGCGAAGAAGAAACGCTTTAGTGCCCTCGTCGACTTCGAGCCCGGGTTCGGCGGCGGCGGCGGCGGCGGCAGCGGCGGACGGGGGAGATAAGGCAACGGGGGCATCTCCCTCGGGGCGTGCGAAGAACAGACGCCCCACTAACCCCAGCGCAACGGTGACAGAAGCAGCGTTGGCTTCCGTAGCGAAGTCACCGGCAGCAAGCGGCGGGACTACCAGCGGAGGTGGCGGAGGTCTCTTTAAGCCCAAGCGAGCCGGTGGGGGGGCGGGGGGGGGGGGGGGCCC